CCCCGCCGGCCCGTGGTGCGGGAAGCTCTATAGTGTGTGTTTGTGTGTGCACGGGTGCGTGAGGCGCGCGGGGTGAGCCAACGGGCGTTGTTCTGCAGCGCGCGGGCCCGTCGGCAAGCTGCCTCCTGTCTCAGCGTCCCAGCAAGCGTCTCCAGCGCCGGCCCTCGCCGCTCTCACTTGTGAGCCGTGGTGGTGTAATCGTCCTGTGTCGCGGCTGGCAGGGAATGGTCTATCCTGAACTCTTCCTCCAGCCCGCCGGGTGCCTTGGCTGAATCCCCCCGGGCCGCGGGTTGGTGACTGTGCGCGCCGCCCCCCTCCAGCCCCAGGATCTGTCTCTGCACCAGCTTGGAATAAAGGCCTCCTTCTTCCATCAGCTCCTTGTGCGAGCCCTGCTGCACCACGCGGCCCTTGTCCAGCACAATGATGTTGTGTGCCTTCTCCACAGTGCTCAGCCTGTGAGCGATGACAAGCACCGTGTGGTGCTGCAAGTCACCGTAAATCGCCTGCTGAATCTGCGCGGGAGGAAAAGACGTTAGTGCCCGAGCATCACCGGCTCTGCTTTGGAAGGGAGGTTTGGAGGGAAGAGCAGCTTTGTGGTCTGTGTTAAGAGAGCTCTGGATGGGAGGTTTGCTCTCCTCTGGCTACACAGAGCACACAAGACTCCCTGCAGCGCTACCAGCGCCAGCATGTCCATGGTGGCTCCCGCTGGGCAGCCCGAAGGACCGTCCCAGTGCAGCCAGCCCGCGGGTGTGGTACGCACACAGGTCTGATCCTGCAGGCTGGGTTCCTCTTAGAGCCAGGCCCTGAATTTGGAGGCCACGTGGTGTTGGCATGGACTGCAGGAAGCCAATACCTGGTAAACGCAGCTGCTCAGAGGAGCGGGGCTGGTTCCTGGGTGTATTGAGGCAAAGCAAGAGGGTTGTTTTCCAGACAGTGGCACTAAGGCCTAAAGGCAGGCAGATGACTGCCAGGCACGTGTCACTGACACCCCCGGCTAGCCAAAACCCCTGGCTGGCTTCGGATACCATGCGCGTGGCTTGAGGATCTGCGAGCTCAAGAGCTGCTCCAAGGTCAGATGCTCTGCTGCCCCACACCTGGACCAGCAGTGCCCATCCTCCAGGGCCGGGAGACACATCCTCACACCTCGACCCTAAACGAGCTTTCCCTCATGTCATTAAACCAGTGAGGCCAAACTGCCACTGGCAGAGCTGTTTGGTTGTCACATCCCAGCCAAATAAACCAGCTCAGTTCACAGAAAGCTCAGGGCCTTTCCTGCAAGCATGTCTTCTTTGGTGCCTCAGCTGGGATTTTGGCTCAAGCAGTCCAACGCCCCCATTTTTTAGGGTCTTCCTCCCTATCCTGTCCTAAAAGGCTGCACAAAGTTGCTGTATGCCAATTAACACTTTCCACATTAAAAAGAAAATCGTGAGAGATCCCTATCTCATCAGGTTTGTCTGGCGTTGGCTGTGGTGAGCACAGGATTATTCCCTTCTTGGTGGCTACAGCAGTGCTGGAAGCAAATTCCTGCTCAGGAATTGGTGTCTCACCCAAACCTCTGATTGCACCGTGTGAAGACTAAGCTTGTCCACAGGCTGCGAATCGGAGCTTCGCTCTTCCCTCCAAACCCAGATTCCCTCTTTGGCCCAAACACCTGAGTCACCTACTCACCGCATGTTCGCTCTCTGCATCCAGCGCGCTCGTGGCTTCATCCAGGATTAGGATGGGGGGCGTTCGGATCAAGGCCCTGGCAATTGCCACTCTCTGCTTCTGGCCACCTGACAGTTGGGCTCCTTTTTCACCTGCCTCTGTTGGGTTGAGGGGAGAAGAAGGGATCAAAATACATATCTAGAGCTGCCATCAAGTTCAGCCCCAGCCAGCAGCACCAGGATGGCATCATGCTTTGAAGAAAAGACCAGGTAGATGCTTCTGCTCACGTGGCAGAGCAGTTTAAATGAGTTAAACGCCCCTGAGGCCACAATCCTTCCCTCCAGCAGCAACTTCTCCACTGTTGTCCCAGTGTTTGAGGGACTGATGCTCACAAAACAACAGAGAGGAGTCCCTAATCCCTAGCACCCCTCTCCCTGCCCGTGCAGCTGCGTCGCTGCCTTCTCTCCCTGCGGGTCAGGGTCTGGGGGGTGTGCAGCCGAGGCAGCAGGGAGGGGAAACAGGGACATCTCTGCTGGCTCCCATCAACAGAACCCACCAGCGGTCTGACCCGCCCCCTCACAAGGTCCCACTGTCACAAACACAACAGCCTTCACTACTATGGATTCAGTGTGCATTTATCTTCTTCCTGTGCAGGTGCTTTTCTTTCTGTCCTCAGTCCTTGGGTTCTGGGCTTTTCTCCTGATCAGCACACTGAAAAGGGGTGAGACTGCCAGTGCCACATCTCTGTAACACTGCCAGGCACTGGGAGCTGGACGGGTCCAGGTGGGATGGGGGAAGCTCACCTTCCTGCCACGGAGCGGCAGCAGAAACGGTCTCCTGGGATGGGCTCAAAAATCCTGCAATAGCTCAGGCACCCCAAAAGGCAAAAGGTGCTGCCCCTTCCCATGTAACCACCTCTACATCTCCACTGAGCTGCCACGGACTTGTGTCTATCACTACCTGGCTGATTTTTCACCCAAGAGGCCCTAAGCAAGGCTTTCAAATGCAAAAGGAGGGATTTTGGTACCTGTATGGTAGCCGTCTTGTAACTCCGTGATGAAGGCGTGTGCATTGGCCTTCTGGGCCGCCTGAACAACCGACTCAAAGGAGGCTGAGGTTAAGCCGTAAGAAATATTATCCGCAATAGAGCGGGCGAACAGCACTGGCTCTTGGCTGACCAGGGAGATCTGCAGAAAGGAAGGGAAGAGCAGGGTGTTGGGAGCAGAAGACATTCTGACTGGCATTTCGGATCAGCCACATTTGTTCCTGCTGGGTAAGGAGTCAAGTGGGCAGAGCCTCACCATTAAACCAAGATACAGAAGTGCCTCAATGTGAGCTTCCAGCGAGGATGCTAACAGCAGGGTGCTCAGTGGCAGCCCCAGCCCAGTTTACATTGTCTGCTGGGAAGCTGTTTTGCAGGAAAGAAAAACAATGCAATGCTGGTACATTGGCATCTGGGACAGGCTTCCCTCTCCAAGACCCTGCTGTGGTTTTGCTCCAGACCTGTAATTCCCATCACTGTTTGCTCTTCCAAGAATGGGAAACCAGTTGCTTGGACAAGGCAGGCTGGCGAGACCCTCTCCCAGGCTCTTGCTGATTTTCTGTTCAAGGCCAGTAAACGTGCTTGGGACACGTGAATGAGCCCTCCTGCATCTTTTAATCCAAAATTAGCAAGTTAGGGACATAGCTGCTGCAATTCCTTAATTGCTTAGCAACAGCCTCCCTGTCCTACCTTACAGCCGTGGGTGCTCACTCTCAAATTCAGCCTGCTTTGTCATACACTCAGTACTGAAATAAATTGAACCTTCCAAATTATTGCTCAGAACTGGGCATGAAGAGAGTCAGCGGGTCATGGTCATATTTTAATTGACTTGTCCCCATGCTCCCAACACCACACCAGGTTTTCTAAACAAAAAGACTAGCTTGCCTTTTAATTTTTGCTTGGTATGGGTAGGGAATGTAAATTAGTCACACTGACTTTGGCTTTCCAGCCTGCCTCTGACCAATTGTTTTCAGGTTTTCCTGCCGACTGGTGAGGCCATTCACTCTGGGGCAAAGAAAGAAGGCAGTTACTTGCAGAGGAGATGAAGGCTGATCTGTGCTGACACACAGCCAAGAGCTGAGGGGCCCGGACCCCTCTCCTGGGCAAACTACCCAGCCCCTCTGGCGCTCCAGCTGCTGCCAGGATCCTGAGAGGTTTAACCCCCCATTAGCTGAGAATGACTAAGATCTTAAGGCAGAAGGTGCTGGAGGAATGCAAACCCCGTTTTCTAAACCGAAATTAGATGATAATTAATCCAACAGCCAAAACCATATTTCTACTGTGTTCACCAAAAAATACAAACCAAAACATGTTCATTGTTCTGTTTTCGGAAGGTGCCCCCCTCCCCATGAAACCACTCTCCATCCCTTTCCCTTCCGCCCACATAAATGATCTGAATTCATTTCCTGGACCACCTCCAGCCTCCAGCTTTCTGGACATTTCAGAAGTTGCCAGATCAAATCCAAAGCAACATGCAACTCCACCATCCATCCCCTCTGATCACGGCAGGCGATAGCTAGAATACACGTATCAGTCGCTCGTACCACTGAGTGCAGGTACTTGTGATCGTACATGTTAATGGGATGCCCATCTAGCAGCACCTGCCCATCTTGCAGAGGGTAGAAGTTCTCCAGGATGTTGACACAGGAGCTCTTCCCGCTCCCCGAAGGACCCACCAGCGCCGTCACTTTGCCAGGGTGCAGGGTGAAGGACACATTCTGCAACGTGGACAGGAGAGCACGCTCAGGTCCTGGCTTTTCCCAGGGTGCTGGGGCAGTGGCTTGAGCACTATGCAAGAAAGGTAGCCAAAATCCGGCCACAGTGACTCCCCACCTCGGTGCCACCCCCCATCAGCCATCTCTCCTGGCTGATTCCTTCTTGTCCTAGCTTCTTCCCTCTGAGGAAGCAAAAAAGCCTCCAAAATTTGCCTGCTCATGTAGCAGAACCTCTAAAAACTTAAAAGCAAACTAACCTCTTGGCTGCTTCCCCCTGCCCCGTGACCCCGGCCCCTCTCCCACGGCAACAGTCCAAGGCAGCTTGGCACAAAGCCCTGTACCACGCTGACGTGCTTAATGCCTGAGCTGGGAACAAGGGTTTTATGAATAAATCTCACCCCTTGTAAGGCAGGCCAGCCCTCCACACCCCCTGTTCCTTATAATCTGTTTTCCAGCACACGGTTGGGCCTGCCTTTGCGTGTCTCCAAAGGGGCAGCTGACACTTCCCGCCGGCTGGGGATCCGTTACAGCCGCGACGGAGAAGTGATGCCTTGTGGTGGGAGCGCTCTGCGCCCGCGGGGCTCACCTGAAGGACCTGCGTTGCGGAGCGAGTCCGGTAGGAAAACGTGACGTTTCTGAACTCCACCTTCCCATCCACGCGGTCTGGGGCCAGGGACCCGTCGTTCACCATCGTTGGCTTGCGGTCGATGAACTCGAACCCCTTCTCGGCAGCTCCCCCTCCCTGCATCAGGCCGCTGTAGACGGAGCCGACTGACTGGAAGGGAAGAGTGATGGAAAAGGCAATCAGTGCCACTTGTAAGGAGAATGGTTGAAGCATTCCCAAGTCCATCATCTGACATTAACTACAGCCACCAGACCCAGAAAAAGAAAGCTCTTCCCCCTACATAGGGTACAGAGGGAACATACAGACGTGCCCAGGGAAAGGGCATCTAAAGGGGTTCTGTGCATGGGTAGACCCAGAGGGGAACAGGAGAAAGAAGCAGATGGATTGGGAGGAGATGAGCGTCAGAAGATACATGACCCAAACTTCCACCAGCATCCTCCACCCGTCTCTCTTTGCTCGAGGCCAGCAGCTCCCCAACACAGTGGTTGCACAGACTCCATGTGCAGCACATTGAACCAGCTGCCGAGGGCAGCCAGCGTGCTCCCTAGCACACGCGCCTCAAATGCAGAGCAGCTTCAGGCTGGACCTTTCTAGACAATTGTTTGGCAGCGGATATGGCTGTTCCCTGATGGGATATGGCCCTGGTTGATTTACCATTGAGCTTTCCTAAGTACAACTCCTGCACACTGACATCGGCCTCCCTGGAATAAACCCCCGTCACGTCATCTCTTTTCAATATTAAACCCAGAATTGCGGAACAGCCTGTACTGCAACTGCCCTTCCCACCAGGAGCAGAGAAAAAAACCCAACCCAAGCCAAACCCAACCCAAACCCGCAGCCTGGAAACACCACCAGAGCCTGCAGTCATCCGAACAGATGGCGAGAGCCAGGCAGGTTGCCTCCAGCTCTGCTCTGCCGCTGCACAAAGGCTGAAGCACCGCCAAAACCAGGCTTGGCTCCGAGGAAACCTCGACTTGAGCGTTTCTGCCTCAATTAGCCAAGATTACGCCTTTGCAAGGGGAAGGCAGCCCTGGGTGGGCTCTTCCATCCTGCCCACAATCCCATCTTGCTAACACACTGCCAACACAGCAGCTTGCAGCTTATTCCGGGGAAAGAGGGGGAAAAAAAGTAACATAATTAAGTTTTTAATGAAGCCTGAAATTTAACAGGCAGCTTTGTAATCTCTGCATCCTTCATGCCAGGAAATGTGCTTGGGAGGCAGCCAGGACTCTGCCCTTCAGTAGGGCCAGCCTGACCCCTTTGGTCCCAACTGCCTTATCCGGGGATGAGCTGCTTCGGGCGCATTCAGGTTGCGAGGCCACAGCAGTAGGGGGGCGGGGAGCAGAGGGGAGATTCTGCCCATTGGTGGGCAAAGCCACAGTGGCAAGGAAATGTCTCACAGGGAAGTCAGCACTGGGTCTAGACCCACAGCTGCCCTGGAACCTTCTAGAAGACAAGTATCACCTTAATATGGGGCAGCCCAGAGGGGTAAACCAGACTCACCTCCATGCAGTCTCCCAAGACAAACTCGTAAATGATGAAGGATATCAGATTTCCACTTGTCATTTGCCCCGAGATCACGAGGTGCCCACCGTAGTAAAGGATGCTGACCTGGACCACCAGGAGAGTCAGCTGAAAGCAAAAAAACCCCCCCAGAATCAGCAAGGACAACTGCATTGTGGTGCATTTGTAATTACTCACACAACAGCCCACGCTACGTGTGCTGACATTCATTCTTTGAGCCCTGAACTGAGCATCCCGACAGCGCACGGCTGACAGCCCTAGCAGCGAGCATGGATATGAGAAGGGAAAACCAGCCCAAGTACATGGGCTGATTGAAGGAGCTGGGCTGAGATCTTTCAACGCAGCAGAAGTCCAGGGGGCAACAGCTGAGGAGGGAGAATTTATGTGAAATAACGGAGCATCTCACAAACTTCTCTCCTGGACTGATGTCCTCAAGTGTAATAACGTACGCTCAAATTATCCGACGCCTGCGGTCACCTCACCACTAAAATAAACCTTCTGTTACAGGAGTGTGGCACATTTTAATTTAGAGCACAAAATCGAGCCAAGAGTTAATGCAAAAAAATCCTCCTTGCACATTCAAGTCCCTGAAGCATAACGTCAGCTTTTGCCTGGAATCAGCGGGGATTGTACCACCTACTCTAGAAAGGGGACAGAGCAGCTCTGATATGACAAATACCAGCCCCTGCCTTTAATCAGACAGTTTTGAGAGCTCAGAAAATCAGCAGTGCCCTGGTGCGCAGTGTGATAGAGTTTGTGGGACAGGCTGTAAATTCACACAGACAAAAATACTGGGGAAAAAAATTCCTCCTCTATTGCTCTGCCATGATCTGACCTTAAGATCCAGTGTTCCTTCCAAGAAAGACTGCCAGAGCTGTGCTAAATCCATCGGCTTCTCTCTACGTGAGCCCCACAGGAGCAGTTTTTAAGGGTTTTTGTCTTTGACTCGGCAAGATCTGTGCTGACACAGTTCATGCTCCGGCTTCACCTGGGAGCCCAGAAACAATGCTAAAAACGCTCCAATTTTGCATCCAAACTTGGGAAGCCTCCCACGGCTATGTGAGGGCACCACAGCTCACCAGAGGCTGCTTAGATCCTCGAATGTGCAGAGATAAGGGCGGCCTCACGTGAGGCTTTTGCACAGCCTTAGTTACCAGCCGATGCAGAAGTCCCAAAGCATCTGGTCTCGAAGGATGAAAAAGCATTTGGAAAAAAAAAAACACTAAAACAACCCCAACCTCCAGCAGCCTCCCCCTGCCACCACCCACAGGCAGAAAACCTCCGTTTCTGAGCAGAAGCTCAACCAACGCCGCGGCTGTTTCCCAGCCGGAGCCCCGGTGATGAGCTGGCACAGGCACGCAATGCAGCAACACAGAAACACGGGGTTTCCACCACCTTGAGCACTTATCAATTATACTCTTATTTACAAGAGAAAACAGACCGTTTGGTGGCACGTCGCAGTGCTGCCCTAAGATAATTTTGATGAGCAAATACAAAACAAGAATGAAGAGACAGGCGTTTACCGGCAGCGGCCACCTACCCCGCTGGACCAGACGTAGTAGGTGTAAGCCATGGCCTCCCGCTTGTTGAGTTTGTACACTTGCTGTAGCTTCTGCCAGTACACGTTCGCCTCTGCCTCCTCGTTGGCAAAACTGCGGACCGTCTTCATGGCAGAGATGGTCTCCTCGGCAGTGTTGTTGGCCTTGGCCAGGGCGTTCTGCACATCCTTGGAGAGTTTCTGCAGGGAGCAGGGGGAGGCAGAGGGGGCTCAGTGGGTGCCAGGCTGCCTGTGGCACATCTCCCTGCACACCCCGGGCTCTGCTGGGCTCGGGAAGAGAAGGCATGGTGATATTTTGCAAGGCCATGGGCAACAAGAATGAGCGCTGGGATATATCCCACACCTTGGGACAGCCTGGGATGTTGTGCCAGGAGAATGGATTCGTTGTGCTGTCCTCAAGGAGGGAGCTGGGCTGCAGGAGGTTAAGTGCTGCACCCAAGGCCACTTGGGAAGTCTGTGGCAGAGCCACTGCTCCAGGTGCCCTGATGGGACAGGCCGGCCCCGGAGCCCTAGCAGGATTTTCCAAGTCAGGAGCAGGTCTGGAGACCAAGGGCAGCTCCACTCCTCCCACAAGCGCCTGACCTGCAGGAGGAGCCATGGCCAGGGGAGGCAGCAGCCGAGGACCTGCTTTGGCAGCACCCAACCATGCCGTGTCCCCAGCACAGCAGAAAGCTCCAATAACTGACGCAGGGCGCAGCAGTGCAGGGCTCGCGTGGTCCGTGGGATGTGGTATTAGCCACAGGGGATGATGCTAGCCGCAGGCAGAGGGAGAGAGCTCAGCGCTGGGTTTAACTCCCCGCAAGTCACTCAGAAGGCAGAGGAGAGGACAGATAGCACAAGTAGAGACAGGACATCCCGTGGCCAAGCTAACTCTCCTGTCAGACCCAAGATGCTTCCAGTCCTGACCATGAAGCAAGGTAAGAGCCGAGATGACACGTGTCTGCCCGTACAGGTTTAATGCCACCTTCCTGCCCCCACTGCCAGCAACCAAGCACCCCAGCATCAACCCCACCAGCTCCAAGGCCACCCACAATCTCCACAATGACACCAGCCCTGCGCTGCGGCACACCGTGGCCATGCCAGCCACTCCTGCCTACCTTGTAGTACTTCCCGTAGACATCAGACACCAGCATGATGATGGGGAAGCCCATGAAGGTGACGAGCGAGAGCTTCCAGGAGAGGCTGAACATGAAGAAGATCACCCCTGTGGCCTTCACCATGTTGCGCAGGAAGATGTTGATGTTCTGGGAGACCAGGTCGCTCACGATGGTCGTGTCCGATGTCAGGCGGGAGATGACATCCCCTGCAGCAACGAGGGGTTGGGGAGGAGGAGAGCAGGGACATGTCACCACGGTAGGACACTGCCTAGTAGTGTCCCAGGGGGCTCCCCATTCAACCCAGCCCCTCGCTGGGGCGTCTGAAGGGCGGCAGGGAAGCGGGGTGACTCTCCACCACTGCAGATGTGAAGTAAAACAGAGGAGCTCAAATTGCTGCATGCACAAGGGACATGAAACACACCCGAAGGCACAAGCTACATCCTTAGGTCACCAAGAATGGCCACAGGACAATGAAGGGGGCTGTGGCAGCACCCTACCCAGGGGGGCACTCAGACAGGCAGCGGGCGTGTGGGTGGAGTGTTTGCTGGGCTGCTGGATGCACCTCCAGAGCTGTCAATCCAGCCCCGAGGTAATTTTAAATGACGCCTCCAGGAGCTGGCCGGGGACTGCCGGCACCCTTCCCCACCACCCTGGCTGGACCCTGCGGAGGAGCATGAGGCGGCTTCGGAGAGGGCTGCTTGGGATTAGCCCTGTGCCTTGCAGCCTGGAGCCGACCCAAGTGACCCTGAGGATGCGGGTCCAGCAAATGACCTGTGATAACCTGAACGTTACAGCCCGCAAACATCACCCTGAGTTCCTAAATGCTGGGCCTGTGCTTGAGTCCAGCTTTTGTGTAACTGTTAGTCCAGGGTTACCCATACCCCACATACAATAACATCTCTGGTGTCCTCAGCTATGAGGGCACTGTGCAGCCCTAGCTAAATGCGGCAACAGCCTCAAAACTAAAAATATCGCTGAGAAGAAATTAAAAGTGGGAAAAGTTACAGCAAGCTGGGACCACACCAGAGCAGCACGGACCGGGATGGGGCTGAATGGCAAGTGGGAAAAGCCACAAGCACACGCAGCAAGCTTCCCACATCTGCAGTTTCCCGTGCCTGGAGCAGAGCTGGAGAGCAGCAGGCACCGACGGGAGGTACAGGAGGAAGAAAGTAGGTGTTTTGGGGATGACTGGAAATGAGCATGCCAGCCCCAGGGCTGCTGGACGTCAGGTGGCAATGGGACATCCCCAGGGTGCTGGGCAATCCTGTCCCGACCCCACGGTGGGAGGCACCCGAATGGGAAGAGCTTTCTGCCACTGTTTCTACACACGAGCACTTGGGTGCCACCTCTGGGTGCTCCCAATGTGCTGCATGCTGGTAGGGCAAACCAAGGGGAAAAAATACCGGGATGGGATAGAGGGGTTGGAGCAAATCCGGGGGAAAGAAGAACCAACCTGTGCGATTCTCATCAAAGAAACTCATCTCCTGAGACACCAGCGACCTGAAGAGGCAGTTGCGAAGGCGAATGTTCAGTCTCGCAAATATGAGCGTAAAAACGCCGCCCCGGATACCTGCGGCAAATGAGCTAATTGCAGATAAGAAACGTTATAGACCAATGGACATGAAACCCGCTCCTCAGCAACACAAACACGCCAGCGCCCGGGCCGAGGGCTTGGCAGTGCTGCGCTGGTACCACTCTCCATCCCAGAAAGCGATGGTTAAACCAGCCCACACCCTCTCCCGCGTGCTACCAGCACAGGGACGGCTGGTCCTAACCCCGCAGCACTGCTGGGACAGCGTTCCTCAGGGTCCCATTCCCTGTGTCTGCTCTTTCCGCCCCCCACCAGGAGACGGACGTGGAAGGCTCACAACTGTCATCACGGCATCCCTGCACCGTGATGGTGCAGAGAAATCAAAGAGCATCCCTGGGGCCTGGCAGGGACCCAGTGGAGCGGCTGCAGGTGACACAGCCTGTGCCCACCGCCACCACGAGCTCCTGAGGGAACTCCTCCTCGTCAGGGCCGAACCCAGCTCCTGCGATTACCTTCCTATGGCGAGCAGCGACATGACCAGCACGGCCGTGGAGAAGCGATCCATGCTCTTCTGCACCACGATGCCGTCGATGGCCAGCCCCGTGTAGTAGGGCAGGAAGGTCTCTCCTGCCGGACAAGCACAGGACATGGGGTTTCACTGCACGGGATCGGCTCAGGACCTGTTTCCACCTGCAACAGCCCGTGGACAACCGCACCGCAGAGACTCAGCCATCACAGGAGATGTCTCAGGCAGTGCAGCCCTTAGTGGCACCTGGGGGTGTTTCATTTCCCACTCTATTTTATTCCCTATTACATTATTTTTTGCCCCATTGCATTTTTTACCCAGCCCATGCAGGATGTGCCACCCAGCACTCCCAAAAAAGCAATCCTGGGGTGCTGCCAAGCTCCCTCCCTCCACGGCTCCTTCCCTCCTGGTGAGGATGGGAGCACACCGTGGGCACCCCCCCATCCCTTTGCTCACCCAGCGCGGCCACGAGGAGGAAGAAGGAGGCGATGCCCAGGAAGAAGGCATCCGGCTTGGTGTAGGACAGCAGCTTATGGATGGTGGGACCCGCCGCCTCCTCCCGCTTGTCCCGCGGGGCACCCGCATCGCAGCTTTCCTCCGCCTCGGCACGGGACTCTGAGCCAGGCCCCAGCGCCTCGCGGGAGGAGGGGACGCAGGCCAGCAGGCGGCACAGCC